AAAGGATCCATTTTCAACTGAAAAATCAACCACCGTAAGTATTCCTCCTCCTCTTCTTCGTTCTTCTCTCACTCCCACCCGTCATTTTGCACATGGGTTTCTCATTGGTTTTTTCAATCTTGGTGGCAGTTCTCGGGTTGTAAGGGGGGCAAAGGGGGAACACAGCAGACCCAGTTGAGATTTTTGGGTTCTTTCAAGTAAGTGACTGTTGCAATCAGCTTTGGCATTGTGTCCAATCAGATTTGCCCAATTTGACTCTTAATTAGATGGTTCCCTGGTTTTTTGTTTTTGGATTGTTTGTTTCATGCTAGCTGGCAGGAAATGACGAAGAAACCCAAAAAAGCATTATGTTTTATCAAATAAAATATTTAAAAGAAATTCTAACTGAATTAATAGTAAGTTTTTAGCTGAGGGTAGTTGAGTTTAAGACTTTAAGCACTTAATTAGCTTACCATTACCAAATGAATTTAGTGAGTTTAGCCATTACCTATTTTCAAAAAAAAAAAAAAAATTTGAGTTTAGAGGATATCAAAAGAAAGAGTTTTGGCTAAAATGTTTCTGTTCCTTGTAAATAGTTTCCAAAATGTTTGTTGGATTTTTCGGTGGTAAGAAGGGGGTTTAAAGAGAGGAATTGGAGGAAAAGGAAACACACTCAAAGTACCCTCTTTTAGTGAGGTGAAAATTCTTTTTTTACATTCATTTTCTGCGATTATATAACACAATCTCATAATACATAAAATAATTTTTTCATTGATATTTATTTAATACAAGAAAATCTAACATTTAAAAGCAAGATTACATTAAGAAGATTTTCTGCCATTTTGTGGGGCTCAATGTGGCTGTACTTGCTGTTACTTTGCAGCTTTTCATTTGCATTTTATTACAGCCCTCACTTCATCAACATTTACAGCATAACTTGCTGCACTTTTGCTGCTACCGTGCTTTGGTGCAGCTATTCCTTCTTCATTTGCTGCCATTTTGTGCAGTCTTTCATTTTCATTTGCTGCCATTCGAGGCAGCTTTGACGCCACAATTCCAACACTCCTCCTTGGTGTTAAAGCTGCAAAATCAAATCAGAAATATATTTTGCCTAAGCACCTGGATCAGCCCTTTGCCGTCCATCTTGTGCTTGCTTTTTCACCTTTTTTATTTTTTGTATTTTTTTTACAGCCGTGTACCACCCTTCTCAAACAACCTCAGCTCCTCCTTCATTGCAGCTTTCCTTCTTTGGATTTTTGCTGCCTCAAACAGATTTTGGAGTTTTGCAACTAAGTTTCATTTTCTGAGTAAATAAAACAGGGGATTGGTACCTCAAAATGCTGCTTCATTATTTTTTTCATCAGATTCAACTTTTGGTGAACCGGATCTGATGCATGCTCTTAGTTTTCTTCCTTTCTCAGGCTGCACCCTTCCCTTGGCATACATTCTTTTTCCCTTTGGACTGCTTTGCTGTAGAGATCATGAACACCTTCTCTTCGTTGATCCAGCTTGCCTCTTCACACCATCTCCTCACCATGCTTGATGTTGAGCTATAGTGGGCTACCATATGCCTTCAGCACTTGCTGTGTGATTTGGCTAAAAATGGAAGAGAGATTTCACAACGAGACCTAATGGAATCCATTTAGAAAAGTGGGGTTTTTTCTTTTATTTTTTTGGTTTTTTGTGTGGTGTTCTCTCAAAATCACTATCAGAGGTCCCTCAAGATCATTGAAGCTCTGATACCATGTTGGATTTTTCGGTGGTAAGAAGGAGGCTTAAAGAGAGGACTTGGAGGAGAGGAAACACACCCGGAGTTCCCTCTTTTGGTGAGATGAAAACTCATTTTTTTCATTCATTTTCTGTCATTATATAGCAGAACCTCATAATACATAAAAGTGATTTTCTCACTAATATTTATCTAATACAAGAAAATCTAACATTTAAAAGCAAGATTACATTAAGAAGATTTTCTGCCATTTTGTGCGGCTTCATGTGGCTGTACTTGCTGCTACTTTGCAGCCTTTCATTTGCATTTCATTACAGCCTCATTTCATCAACATTTGCAGCATAGCTTGTTGCACTTTGCTGCTACCGTGCTTTGGTGCAGCTCTACCTTCTTCATTTGCTGCCATTTTGTGCAGCCTTTCATTTTCATTTGTTGCCATTTGAGGCAGCTTTGACACCACAACTCCAACAATGTTGACAAATTTTAACGTGATTTGAAAAGTTAATTCAGGTTGTGGATCTGAATGATTGTGATGAATGTGATAGAAATTTGATCTGCTTACGTATTAATTGTACGCTATTCTTTGTGGGAGACTAATATACTTGAATTTACTAGGATCTGCCTGTGTTGAGGCAAGCTTCTAACTCACGTTCTTTGGTGATTTCTTTATAGGAGAAGACAATTTTAGATTCTGACTACTGTGCAACTTTCTGGATTGATTCTAAGAGATTAGCTTGAATACTAGTTGTTTTAAATGATAAATCACCTTCTATGTTATTTATTGAGCATGTGTTCACTAAGGCATGGGTACTTTGATGTATGCAGGACTAGGCCTGGTAAGCAATTGAAGGCTTCAATGGAACCTCCAGGACGTGTGGAGGAACTTAAAGGTGAAATTGAGAGCCTAGTTCAAATGGAAAGTGGTTCTGATTTGTTTGATGAAATCAAACATCGGTTTCTGAGTTTTAGAAAGCAAAAGTATATGTGAGCTGAAAAATTGGCTGCGAAAGTACATGAGGACTTTTGTTTCTGACTTTTATTTGATGTTGTTTAGCTGTAAGGAATTTGGTCTGTCCTTTAATTTAATACGTATTCTTTTGCAGGGAAAACCTAGAGCACTATCAAAATTTAGCAAAGTGTTAAGCGCCAAAGGTAATTGTTTTATTTCCAGTATATTCATTAGTTCTTCGCCATGTTTCACAAATTTGCTAGAAACATGTCCAATTGGCTTTTGATTTGAATTTGGTTGCTAATGTCCAAAAAAGAAAAAAAAAAAAAGGTTGCTGAAATGGGAAAGATGTTCGTTTTACTAACAATCTCAAGTACGGTTTTTGGTGATTGCTTGTGCAGACTCTAGGGTGTGCCCATCATACATCTTGGGATTTGAACCAGGAGAGGCATTTGTGGTGCGTAATGTCACAAACATGGTGATCCCATTTGAGGTTTGTAATACAATGCATCAAGAACTAGTTTTACTTCCTTTTTTTTTTTTTAACCCTTTGTTGTTTATGCTTGATGCTATGAAGTTCAAACTTAAGAAGTGATTGCCAAATATCTGAATCAGTAATTTTCATTTCTTTCCTCCTTTTTTGTTTGTGCAGAGTGTGTTAGTTTTGTTTGCACAAAAATTCAGTTGAAGGAGAAAATTAGAAGGCTGAAAGATAAATATTTGAAAAAAGCTAACAAGGGGAAAAAGACATTTTTTACTCCACGTGAGGATCAGGTTTTTCGTTTGTCTAAGAAGATATGGGGCAAACAAAAGGTGAAGAAAGCAACAGAGGTTGGTGAGAAGGTGAATGTGAATATTCCAGTTAGAAAGAGCCTTGGAGTTGCCAGTTTGGAAGCTGAAATATTAGCCTTTGGATTAATTTTAATTTGTTTCCACTGTATAGGAAAACTACATCCAATTCAACTGCTAATATTTCAGCTTCCAAACTGGCAACTCCAAGGCTCTTTCTAATTGGAATATTCACATTCACCTTCTCACCAACCTCTGTTGCTCTCTTCACCTTTTGTTTGCCCCATATCTTCTTAGATAAATGAAAAACCTGATCCTCATGTGGAGTAGAAAATGTCTTTTCCCCCTTGTTAGCTTTTTTCAAATGTTTATCCTTCAATTCAGCAATACGTAGACTCTTCCATCTCTTCTCCAGTGCCTCCTTCTCTGGTCCTTCAACTACATCCAACCCAACTGCTAATATTTCAGCTTACAAACTGGCAACTCCAAGTCCTCTTTCAAACCCGTTTTTTAACCAACTAAAATCCTAACAGGGTGGACCCTCAGAGACAAAAGCTGGTCTAGAATTTGCTGTGAACTCCCTTTAAGTAAGTCTGGCCTGCCTGATTCCCCCTCCGTTCTAGTAATTATTTGATGTTGGAACTTCAAGTGTTTTTGTACTGTGTAACTAACAGGGAAAAGGAAAACAAAAAATGGTTGTTACTAAAGACTGTCATGTAAAACATGGAAATTGCAAAATAAGTATAAAAGATGGAGGAATTTTATCATTAAAATTTATTTGTGGGGTTGTTAGCCATGTAATTAATTTCATTGAATCATGGAAATGGCAGTTGGACTGTTCTGCATGAGAACATTGCTCCGTATTTGAGAAAGGGATAAGCAGTACAAGTGGGAAGTGAAATGAATTATGAAGTGAGAATTGTTTAATTTGGGAATATTGTCTCAGTGGAAGGATTTGCTAGGGGCATAATTTCTTAATATAATTGCTTTTGCAGGTTGAAAACATTTTAGTCATTGGCCATAGCTGCTGTGGTGGCATACGTGCTCTCATGAGTATGCAGGATGGAGAAGACTCAAGGTATGGCCACAAAAATATCATCCTTCTGTTTTGTTTTACCATTACAATATGTCACCATCACATTCAAACGAAAAATTGCAGAATTCTCACTTAGGTAAGCTCTCTTTAGTGGATTTACTGGAAGGTGGGTTGTTGTTGGGAGGAAGGCAGGGCTAAATACAGAGGTTGCTGCTTCCAACCTCAGTTTTGACCAGAAGTGCAGACACTGTGAGAAGGAATTCTCTCTGCCACTCTCCCTCTTCCCCATAATAGTTTTCTGCATCCAAGTAAGTTGACACTGTTTGATCCAGTATAAATATTTACCTTTTGACAAAAATGTCTCTTTTTCTCTCATATCAAGTACATCCTAGTCCTACAATGATTTTCTCATGTTTAGTTCTTTGTGTTTCACTTTTTTTACTTCCCTTATTCTTCCTTTGGGCTGAGAAGGAGACTCTAAGTCATCTTGGCCAACTAGCTTTAGCATAACCTTTGCATCATATTCAATTCAAGAATCTATTTGTCATTAACTGGAAGTATTGATCACCATGAGAAACATTCAGGTTCCTCTGCATTGTGTTCAAGTCTTTACTTTTTTAGACCTTCTTATAAGAAAATTCTTCACATTCAATATACCAAAATGGGTGAAAGTATTGTGTTTCTGTTGCAGGAATCAGTTAACTGTTCATTGTTAAACCTGCTCACTTACCCATGGATAGAAGAAAAGGTAAGGAAAGGGCAGCTGTCTGTCAATGGTGGCTACTATGACTTCGTTGAATGTACATTGGAGAAATGGACACTGGATTACAATGGAGGAAAGACAGATGAAAGCAATAGAGTTGCAGTGAAAAATCAATCCTTCTGGCGCTGACTTCTTTCTGTCTTCAACTTGATTTTCCTTTTTCTTTTCCTTTTTTTTTTTTTTTTGGTTGTGTTTTCCACTGTGCTGCCTAATTTATTAATGGCTAGACAGTTGAACAATAATGCTATTATTAAGAATTAAGGAAATAACTATCCCGTTGTATCATTGTTGTAATGTCACGTTAGTTCTATTTCATACTTGTAGTAAAGCTTCAGCTAAGTCTTTCCCACTCTATACCATTTTCTCTGTCAACTTGTGGTTAAGTTGCTGAGCACCATCTTCATCACATCTCAAGCCTGAACTGCCAGAAAAGCCTGACTATCCAAAGCCTGAATTACACAAGGTGCCTAAGTATCCCAAGCCTGAAATGCCCGAATATCTAAAGCCAGAACAACCTGAATTGCCAAGACACCTGAAATGCCTAAAGAGCCTGAATTGACAGAGCCAGAGGAGTCAGAGTGGCCTTGAATAGGAACACAGCTTTTATTCTCATTACTACTATATATATATATGTATATATTTGGAGTGTGTAAGATGGGTGGATTGTGTATTCATCTTATGAATATCCTCGATTGATTGGTACAAGGTTCATATTCAAATGGTGTTGGTTGGAGTGATTCTGATGAAGTGACTCTGTAATATTTATATATTTAAATATGAAATAAATTATAGTTAAAAGTATGATGTTTTTGTTTCCACCTCATTTGATTTAAAAAATTTATACCTACCAGTTACTATCATTCTGTGAGTCTTTGCGGTCCTTGAATCTTGTGATTACATTTCATTAGTTATTATTTGATATTTATCTAGTGCTCTCACTGCTTAATTAATTGGTCTCGTATTTATCCATTATTTTTGTCAAAATCATAACTAAATAATAATCTCCTGCTCAAGTTCTTGGGAAGATGTGAACAAAATGCATGTTTTTACAACTAAGATCATGATTTCTGTAATGCATCAGGTACTAGAGAATAAAATGTTTGATAGCAATTTAGTCTTGATTTAGCCTGAGAGAAACTACTTCGGTTCAATGGAAAAAGCATGGTTATAGTACAACTATGAAGTCACATTTTTTACTCGGGCCACAAACTTTGCCTCTTTTGGGTCTGGCCTTGTGAGTTTTTGTTCAGTTTTCTTGTGTACACCCCACTTTTGAAGGATTATTGCGAGAAAATTAAACATGTAGGTTGAAGTGCAAAACTTGCAAGTAGGGAGTGTTTGGTTAATTTAAAATTTTTTTTATAAGATTATTTGCATATTTTATATATTAAAATTATACTAAAAAGAGGGTAAAAATTATATTTTAAGTATTTATTTTTTCTAATACAATTCACACCGTAAAGTTTTTTTTCCTACC